CTGCCCTGCCCCCAACAGAGATTTTCTTACCTGCATGCTTATGACTGCCCCTCCCTTTAGCTCACCATTCACTGTCAGAGGGCAGAGACAGCTTTTCCTTTGTTCACCACTAAGTTTCCAGTGTTTGGGACATAGTAGGCGCTTAACAAAGATTTTCTGAATTGTTAGTTGAAAGAGAATAGAAATATGGATGGACAGATAGATTAGGATAGCTTATCACTCTCTCAAAGTTACCATGTCTAAAGTTAAATTTTGCTTTTCTGCTCCTGAGAAGTTAACCCATCAAAAGACGGTGAGGTTTGAAGACTTTGAATCTGATTTTATATCCTGCGTCAATCATTTACTAACCATGAGATGATATGCAATGTGCTAAGTCTCTCTGAGCCTTTATTTCATATTTTAATGTAGATCTGCAAGGCTAATTAGTGATGCTGATAATCCTTGCAATACACTGGGTGGTGAGTGCCTGGTGGCTATTAATCTTAGCGTATATGACACTCTATTGAGTCACTTATCCCGTCTTTGGGGCCTCTTGCCTTTCACTCCCACCCACCACGACTGTTGGATACCAAACACTGTTTCATCTTTCCTCCGAATGTCTTCACCGTCTTCCTGCCATCTGCCCATTCGAAGTAGTAGGTTCTAACCAGTTCCTCTCCTTCAGATTTCTCCTGCTTTGCTTCATGCACTTCCCATAGTGGCTCCGGAATTCCTATCGAGAAGTTTGGGGTGGCAGAAAGTGGGGAGCCTGCGGAAAGGGTTTGGCAGTGGCCTGTGCACATCACTTTACCACATCCTGGGACAAAATCGATGGTCCCCATTGAAGGAAAGGGGTAAGGAGCTGACGGGCACGGGAGGCAGGCCAGTCCTCATGGTCACCTTGAGGCAGAAGCTGCCAGCTTACTCTTCCCAAAACATGGTTCTCATCCAGAGACTGTTTTTTTTTTTTTTTTTTCCAGAGAAGGAAAGAAAGAGAGGGAGGGAGAAATAGGGAAAGAAGCAGACAGACAGCGATCACTCTTGGTTGGACCAAGCTCCCAGTCGGGACCTCTTTGCAATTTTGTTCCACGATAACTCTCTTTTTCTGCCTTGTACTCCAACACCAAATTTTCATTTCGTGGATTTCATTTCATTCAATCCCCCCTGAATTCACCAACACTATTCCTGACTCCCCGTCTTCCCATCCAGGCTCTTCAGCCCTCTGATCTAAGGACATTCCAGGCCTCTCCTGCCTGGCCTCCGGCATTCCTCCCCTTCAGCTGCCCCCGCCCGTGTTGTGCCTGCCTTTCTTGGAATTCCCAGTGATTTTTATTGTCTGGGTAATTTTCTCTGGCGCTGCACTACATAACTTTCTTGTTCGTTGTTAAAACATCTCACATGTTGATGTTGCTTCTCCTACCAGACTGAGAAGCCCTTTAGGGTGAGTACTGCTATGGAACTCCGGATCTCCCGTGGCTCCCAGCCTAGTCGGTGTGGAACCCGGTGTAGGTGGGCAATGGGTTGCTGAGTTATGAACCATCCCCACCAAGTGCTGCCACCCTGCTTTTCGGGCCCACAAAAGGATTTTCAAATTTAGACAGCTCTCAACACCCAAAGACCCTCACCAAGGAAGACGTGCCAAGCAAACACCTACTGGCTGCAAGAATCTGGACCTGGCAAAACTGAGTGGTGATGGCCCGCTCCCAGCTCGGGCTAGTCATTTCCTGCGCTGGTGAGTAGTGAGCTAGAGCCGGAGGCATCTTGTTACCTTCAGCTTGAGCAATGTGGGTTTAAATGCACATCTGCTTACGCCCACGCACATCTGTCTTCATGTGTGCAGCAGCCCGCAAGCAACAAACAGCAGTGATGTTACCGGGTTCATGAGACAGGCCACCAAGGGTGGTGGAGTAGCAGTGGGGTTTGGGAAGTTTGTGCAAAAACACCTCCGGAGAGAAATAAAAAGGGGGAATATGGATGAAGGGTACCCAAGACTTTCTGTACTATTGTTGCAGCTTTTCTGTAGGTCTAGAATTATGCCGAAAATTTCAAAATACTGTGAAGCAGAAATAATAACAACAAAAATTTCATCTTGTTTCTACTGTTCCCCTCCCGTCTCCTTTAGCTGCTAATTAAGAATTTGTGTTTTCTCAACAGACTCCTATTGTCGTGAATATGTCTACAGTAGGCCCTCAATATCCAAAGGGATTGGTTCCGAGACACCCTCAGATACCAAAATCTGTGAATGTTCACGTCCCTTATATAAAAGGCGTGGTGTTAACATACAACCTATATACCCGCTCCCCCAGGACACTTTAAACCACCTCTGGATTGATTACTTAGAGTACCTAACACAATGCTGCATATCACTACATTCACATGGACTCAGTGGCTGTTCTGAACCACTCGACTGACACACACAGCAAATTCAAATTTTGTTTTTTGGACCTTTCTGGAATTTTTTACAAAGTTGTTTATTTGAAAAGCACAGTAACAGAGAAAGAGAGAGATGGAGATAGAAGCAGAGACAGAGATAGAGATGCAGATAGAGAGAGATAGAAATCGAGATGGTGGAGCTAGTTTAGTTGGTTCTTTCACCAAATGACTACAACAGCAGGGGTTGGGCTAGGCTGAAGCCAGGAGATGGGAACCCCACCCAGGTCTCCCACACGGGTGGCAGGGGTTCAAGTACCTGGACTGCTTCAGTGCCTTCCCAGGCACATTAGCAGGGAGCTGGATCAGAAGCAGAGCAGCCAGGACTTGCAACAGGCACTCCAATATCTGATGTGGTTGCTGCAAGTAGCAGCTTAACCCACTGCACCACAACACCAGGCCCTGTGGAATTCTTTTTAAATAATACAGTGAGTTACGTGTTTGGCCTAGTGGTTAAGAACCTGATTATCATACCCACGTTCCACATCTGAGTCCCTGAGTTTGAGTCCTGGATCTGCTCCCAAGTCCAACTTCCTGGGGGTGTAGGCCGGAGGAGTCAACAGCTGATGGCTTTAAGAGTTTGGCTCCCTGCCACTCACTGGGAGAGAGATCCAGATTGAGTTCCAGGTTCCTGGTTTCAGTCTGGCCCAGACCCTGGCCATTACCGGCATTTGGGCAGTAAACCAGCAGATGGGAGATCTCTGCCTCTCCCTCTCTCTCTCTCTTCTTCTCTCTCTCTCTTCCTTTCTATCTCTTTCTCTCTCGCTCAAGTATATACTAACACAAAATATATATTATATATATTTCATCCACAATTGATTAAATTTGCAATTGCAGAACCCACGAATATGAAAAACTGACTTTATTCCCCCCATTAGACAAGAAATATAAGGTGGAAAATAAAATGACTCAAAGAAACCTTTCAAATACTTTATTACATAAAATATATGTAATATTTTAGTAGAATATTACATACAGTAATATTTTAAACACTAAATTACAGTGTTAACACTGGAATAGATGGATTTTAATACTTTGTGAGCTCATGCAAGATACTTAACCTGGAGTTACAGCTTCTTCATCTTGAAAATGAAACAAAAAATGCCTATGCCTTAGCGCTGTCATGAGCATTAAATAAAATGATAAATATCACACGGTTAATGTGATTCCTGGCCCATGGTTGGTGTCCTTGATGTACTAGTTCCAAGGCTTTTAAAAATGTCAATTACCAAGTTCTTTTCACGTTGCGTCCTTGACACCTTCCAGAGCTTTTGCGCCGGCAGGATGCATGCTAAGTGGTTAGGGAAGGAGGGAGGGAGGGGAGAAGCCAGGCGGCTGGGACGACAGCAACTCTGCCGCGGTACCAAGGCTCCAAGGACAGGCCCTGCTCTCGCTGGCCCGCGAGTCACCTCTCCGGGCTTCTGTTTGCTCCCTAGGGGAATGGGGCTGGTTTTCACCCCAGCAAGGGAGGAACGACCCGCCGATCAGCCTTGAGTGGGAGGAGGGCTGACCCCTTCTAGAGCACCCCCAGTTTCAGAGCTCAGACCCCAGCTGCCGGCCACCGCGCCCGCGAGGCTGAAGGGGAGCGGCAGTGCGCTCCCGCCTCAGTGAGGCCCAGGGAGAAGCCCTCCGGCCACAGTCGGAGATTGGCACCGGAGAGCTTGCAGAGAGAGAGAAGCCCGACGTAAGGGCAGGGCAGCCGCTCCGGGGACGCAGCGACCTGAGCTCGGCCCTCTTCGCCCTTTCCTCCTCGCGCCCCTCACGGCCGCTGGGCAGCAGGGGCCAAGGCAGGTGGGCTGGGGTCCCTGCGCGCCTCTCCCCGCCCCGCGCGGGCCTCAGCCCTCCAGGTCGCTCGGCAAAGAGGTCCTGGCGTGTGGGGAGCACCCGCACCGGCACCGAGGGGGCTCCATTCCCTCTGCCTCATTTTTTTCCCCAAAGGGGCTGCTGCATGCTAACCTGGGCCCCCAGCACAGCGGTTTGCTCAGATGCTTCTCAAAGACCCCATTGCAAAGAGCTCCTGGCCCCCAGGATCTTGGGGTGACGGCTGTCCTGGTCTGGAGGGACCCCGGCGGCGGTCAGGGAGGCAATGGAGCCCGTGGCGTGGCCGTCCCCACTGCCCGCTTCCGTCCGCACCGTCGTGGGGGCAGCCCCGAGGAAGTCCGGCGGCGAGGGCAGAGAGAGGAGAAAGCGGGGAGAGGGCAGAGGCCGAGGCAAGGCGGCTGTAGGTGGACAGGACTGCAGCGCGCGAGACGCGAGAGGCAGAGAGAGAGAAAGGGGCGCAGTCTGGAGGGGCGAGAAGGACCGAGCGAGAACCTGGGGTAGCAGTCACCCGGCCTCACCCATCGGCCTGTGGCCCGAGTGTGCCCCGTTCTCGCCTACTCAGAGTCAGCCCCGCGCCGGGCGCCTCTTGCAGCCCGGCCGCCCCCGGACCGCCCCAGATCCCCGCTCGGGCCTCGCTCCTGGCCGGGCCGGCCTCGCCCCTTGCGGGCGGATCGGCCCCCGCGCCAGCCCCAAATGCTGCAGGGAGGAGGGAGCGCGAGCGAGCGAGGGAGGGGCTGCGGGAGGAGGCAACCATGTGGCTCCAGCTCAGCTTTTTCCCTCTCTCTCTTTCTTCACTCCTTTTTCTTTCCAAACAGGGAAAAGTGTTCCACGAAGCGGTAGCGCCTCGCCGCCTCGCCTTTGCCTCCCTGACCCTGCTGCGGGCTTCCGTCCCGGCGCGGGCTGCTGGGGCGAGCGCTGGAAGTGCCTCTGCGCCCCGGAGCGCAGGGCGCGGGGACCCGGGCGCGGGGCTGCCTCCCGCGGCCGCACATGGCTGCGGCCACCCTGCGCGCACCCCAACGCGACGCGCCCTGCTCGCCCAAGGTCCGTCCGCTGCGCCCCGCCGCCCGGGAGCCAGGCAGCAGCTGAGCGGGGACGGGCCCGCGCCCGGGGACCGGGATGTCCCCCCTCCTCCTCTTACTAGGTGAGTGCCTCGGGGAGGGCGGGAGTTTGGATGCCCCTGGGCAAGCCCGGCGCTGCGTCCAGGGAAGACGCCCATGGCGAACCGTGGTCCCCGCGAGCTCCGGGGGTGAGCCCCTTCCTCCCCCAGCCTCCCCGCCACGAAGCAGCGCATCTGGCAACGGAGGACCGCCCAGCAGGCCCTGGAAAATGTCTCGCACATCTGGGCCCTTGGGCGGGATTGGGGGTGGGGGTGGGAGTGGGGGTGTTCTGGTCGAGTTTGGCCGCCCTGAACGGTGCGTTGTGAAGGGTCTTTTCAGGAGAGCCTTTAGTTTCAGGAGTATCTGGGAGAACCGAAGGATTGGGGAAGGGAAGGTTTATCCAGGAGTTTTTGTGCCAGGTTCCTGGGGGTGGAGGGGAGGGGGGAACGCGTTTTTTTGTTTCAAACAGGCGCCTCGGAGGGCTCGGATTAGAACCAGATGTGTTATTTATTGAAGAGTAAGAGGAAAGGAGTAGGGGGAGAGGCAGGGGAGGAGACGAGAGGAGAGAGGGGAGAGGGGAGAAGGCAGAAGGCAGCAGAACCCGGGGAAGACTGGGAGGCGCCCCGGCGGCTGCAAGTAACCCCGAGGAAGAAAAGGAGGAGAGAGAAAGGGTCGGGACAGCGAGAAAACAAGAGGAGAATGGGAATATGAAACGGAGAAGCCGCTGGGGGATTGAGCAAAAGGAGTGTGAAAAAGACAGAAAAAAACGGGGTGGAAGAGAACAGGGGGAACCAGAGCGAGTGCGGCTCTCTGTGGAACAAGTCTCGGGGCTCAGAGAAGGGCCCCACAGGGTGTCTCCCCTGAGGACTCCTGGGGCCCCAGAGGCCGGAAGGCACAGCGGCTGGCCTGGACTGGAGAAGACAGACTTGTGGGATGTGTGTGGTGAGAGCTGAGAGTCCACAGGACGGGGGCCGGGGGGTATCTGCAGGGCCTGGGCAAGGCAGGCAGGCAGGGAAAGCCGAAGACAAGTCCTGAGGGCACCCTGGAAGCACAGAGTCCGCCTGGACACTGGAGCAGAAGTCAGCTTGGTTCCCAAAGTGGAAGCGCCAGCCAGGGCTGGTGGAGGGCAAATGCGGCCTGGAAGTCCAGGCCGCCGGAGGAGAGCTGGTCCCGGCTCTGAACTGGCTACTTGGGTGACCTTGGACAACTCACTCGCCGTCCAGAGCTTCTGTTTCCTGAATTCTGAAATGAGAAAGCTAGGTGCTTCCTCAGTCCCTTCTAGCCCCTATACCACTGGGAGTTCGAGGGAGGCTGATGTCCAGAAGGGAGGACCCAGAAGAGACACCTTGCAACAGGTGGCTCACACCCTCTGTCTCGTTTCTTTCTGAAACTTTATAAATCAGCCGGCACATAAGCATGCCTGTCTGGGCCACCCCCAAGCTGCTGATCACCCAAGTTAGAGGAATCAAAGGCCGACTAACCTAAACTTTTGCTCCAGGAGGGCAAGTAGGGAGGTGCTGTTTCCTAAGCCTGTAGAGGTACTTTGCTGTGCACAGCCAGATGGCACCTTTGTCACTCTCACTGGTCTCTGTCACTAAGCTACCAACCCTCAGGTGTTCTATGGAAATAGATGTCCAAGCCGCCTTATTAAAAACCAACATTCATTAAGTCCTTGTTGTATCTTGTTTTATGTGTCCTCTCTTACTAAGTTGTTGATTCTTCACACCAGCCCTATTGGCCACCTATTATGATTATTCTCAGCTTACAGATGAAGATATCCAAGTGTAAAGAGGTCAGGTGCTTTCTCTCATATTTAGCGGAGGTGGGATTGATTTAGGTTGGCCCCAGTTCAGAGTGGAAACGAGATGACTTTGATCCCCAAGTTGAAGTCACCTGGCATGGCATGATGTGAACCTGGATAATGATCACACTCTTAGTTAAGAAGAAAGGGGAAACTGACCAAGACATGGATCAAAAAGTGTCACTGATTCTCTAGCCCTTCTTTATTGAGTGCTTACTGTATGCAGTCATTCCTCTGCCTGGTCTGATGGGTCTATGCTCTGCTTTATTGTAGAAGCTACGCTCGTGACTTCTTTCGTGCATCTGTTTTATAAAGCAGGCTGATGTGGAACAGCAGGTTTGGCTGCTGCTTCGTATGCCTGTATTCCATCTCAGAGAGGTAGTTCGAGTCCCAGCTCCTCTCCTTCTGATCTAGTTTCCTGTTAATATGCCTGTCATCCCCTTGCTTAGAGTGGTCCAAGTATTTGGGTTCCTGCCTCCCATGTGGGAGACCTGGATGGTGTTCTCAGCCCTGCTTCAGCCTGGTCCCGCCCCAGCTGTTACAGGCATTTGAGGAGTGAACTAGCGAATGAAAGATTCTCCCCCACTGCCTCTGTCTCTTCCTCGCTCTATCATTTTCCCTTTCGAGCAAATAAAATGTTTTTAAATAGCCACACATTAAATGCCAGGTAGGACAGAGAAGAGGGCAGCTGATGGGATTCCGCACAATTGGGTTCTCATCATTCACGCCTACTGTTAAGCTGTCACCACGTCTTGGCCTTTGTCAGCATCCTCAGACGCATGACTTCCTGGCTCTGAGTGGATTTATCTGTTCGAGTAAGAGATTGACATTGAGGGAGAGCCCTGAGGTAACCCCTCTGCAGCTGACACCCCTGCATGGGGCCAGAGCCCATAGGGAAAGCAGTGCTGTGGGTGGCTTAGCCTTCATTTGCAAAGTGGTTTGGAGCCGTGGCATGCTTGGGCACTCTGGAGCAAAGCCAGAAAGAAAACCTGCCGAGTTGCCTCGGTCCTAACCGGTCCTTTACAGAGGTGGTTCTGGGCTGCTTCTGCTCACTGCTAGCGTGGGTTTTGGCATCCTTTTCTGTGCTCTGCTGCGAGAGTTCATAGTTCACAAGGGTGAGCCAGTTGACGCCTTGCTTCCTTGCCCTGCCTCTGTGGTGTGAAGGAACAAGTAGAGCTCCGAGCCCCATGGAAGAGAGAGAAGCCCCTCCTCTGTGCACCACCCTTCAGTCTTCCACCTTAGCTTCTCTTCTGGGTTCTGTAGTGGCTGCCACCTCCGTGTTCCGCCTGGTCCTGCTCCACCGTGCACACTGCCACCAGGATGACCTTATGAGGCAGCTGCTAGAATGCAAAAACCTTGGATTCGGGAGTCTCTGGGTTCTTCTTCTGACTCCTTTGTCTTGAAAAGAGAGTTAGGGGTGGAAGATCTTGAATTCAAAGTTTCCAAAATTCTACATCTTCCCCCCTTCTCCCCAAAACCTTGAGTAGTCTGTACTGCTTTTAATACTGAGTGCAAGTTCTTCATTCTGGTAGTAAGGGGTTTATACAGTGTCACTCACAACTCCTCCCCACTCCCCACTCCTAGGTAGCTCTCCAGGGAATGTGAATTCTTCCCTGTGCCCTAGTTCTTTCTCATTCTGTGCTTTTGCTCATGAGAATCCCTCCCTGCAAAATGCCCCCTTACTTCCCACCCTCCAGAGACACCACAAATGCCACTTCTTCCAAATACCTGTCCACTTTTCACCACCAGTACACTCTTTCCTTCCTTAATGCCAATAGCCTTCTTCTAATGCCGCTTTTTGTTGTGTGATCCTCACGGTTCTCTGAAGACAGGGATTGCGTCTCATTCAACCGTGTGTCACCTCTGGCACCTCACATAAGCTAAGAATGTGTGCACTTTTTGTTAGGAGAGAATTGGATTTTTGAAACATTTGAAATGTTTAAGGCCAAGAAGTATGAAAAATTTAGAGAATCATTGCTCCTTTTGAGACAACACAATTCTGTGGAACCCAGTTTTTGTTTTTTGTTTTTTCCTTAAGATTTTATTATCCTGAAAGGCAGTAATTAGAGAGACAGACGATCTTCCATCCGCTAATGACTGGGGCTGGGCCAGCCCATTCACTCCCCAAATGACCTCAATGTCTGGGGCTGGGCCAGGCCAAGGCCAGAAGCCAGGAACTTCATCAGGATCTCTTACATGCATGCAGGGGCCCAAGGACTTGGGCCATCTTCTGCTGTTGTCCCTGGGTGCATCAGCAGGGAGCTGGATCAGAAGTGGAGTCCCCATTTGGGCTTCCAGCATTGCAGGTATTGGCTTAACCTGTCACACCACAATGCCAGCCCTGAGGACTCCAGTTTTAATTTAATTCACTTTGCTTCTGTGCTTCCTTGTCCATTGATTCAAATAGGATCAGTGCTATGTAAAAATTATACATAGAGCATTACAGGACAAGGACCAGACAATACAAAGGGGCTTAAAAATACTCAGGGAAAATTCATATTATTCAAAGTCCCCCTTTCCACGAACTTTTTTGAAGCCCTCTCACATACGTGCTACACACTTATTCTGTTATATTGCATGTGCTTGGTCTAGATTATCAACAGATTTCTCCATAGAAACTTGTGCTGAATGGGGAAGGAGCTTGATTTTCCAGAAAATGAGTTTGAGGGAGCTTCAATGTATAGTCCATTGACTGCAGCATAATAACAGGTCTCAGTAGAACTCTGTGTCCTCCCTTTGTTTTCTTTCTCTCTCTCTCTCTCTTTTTAAAGTTGTTTATTTATTTGAGAGTCAGAGTTACAGAGAGAGAGACAGAGAGAAAGAGAACGATCTTGCATCCACTCGTTCACTCCCCAGATGGAGCCACAGTGGCCAGGGCTAGGCCAAGCTCAAGCTAGGAGCCAGAAGCCTCCTCCTGGTCTCCCACATGGGTTGCAGGGGCCCAAACACTTGAGCCATCTTCTTCTTTTCCCAGGCCATTAGCAGGGAGCTGGATCAGAAATGGAACTGCTGAGACTCAAGTCGGCACCTAGATGGGACGCCAGCGTTGCACACGGTGGTTTTTCCCGCTGTACCACACTGCCGGCCCCTCCTTCTGTCATTTTCCTGCATTGCTGATGATGATCATAATAATGATATGTCCCTTCTAGTTTTGTCTTGTGCCCAGCCGAGTAGTGTACATGGGAATGACTTTCATGAGTGGATCTGGTGGTGAGAAATTAGATAGACTTTTTCTTTTTTTTT